AAATAAACTGAATTGAATAAAGACCTCCAGCTCTGCAACTATTTCGAGATTTCCCCCATCCACTCAAACAGCCCACCGCTCCAGCCTTCTCCTAAATGCTGTGACCTTACTGGGTCAGTTTGTTGCTGTGTTTTGGCCTAATTACAGCCGACAGTAACTGGTTTTGAGAAATAATTGCCTGTTTGAGACCAGCCGCTCACCGTCCTTCTAATGTTCTACATTTATTTGTATTATTCATATTTACATTTATTTATATTATTACTTTATTATTATTATTATATATTTATTTTTAGAAGCTACATTTATTTTGCACATTTCTATTTTTCCAAAATGATTGAGAGACCCCCAGACATCATCTTGCAACCCCAATTGGGGTCGGGACACCAAGGTTGAAACTGGCTGTTGTAAACGACGGTGGAATAAATTTTGTTTGTGATGTGTTAAATATCACTGATGTGTAGCTTGCACATCTAGGTCCTGGTAGGAGGGAGCCAGTAGAACCACGTCAAAAAAACTGCGACAAGATGGTCTCAGAACCGGACCCTTTTTGGTTCTTGGCTGCTCCTAGAAGTCCCGTCTGTAAAGGTTACTGTCAGGACTAGTGACACAGGGACCGTTTCTCAACTCACAAAAACACGAGTACAGACTCGTGTTCTCTCCAAGTATGTTCTTGAGAAGAACACAAGAAAGTCTGGAGTCAGGGAGAACGGGAGCAAGCAGAATAAATATGGGTCAATTGGAACAGAAGCGTACTGATGATGTCACCACACACTCGGCTCGTCTGGAGCTGCATTTCACCTCCTGTTATTAATAGTCTCTAGATAATAATAGATTCTGACTTTTTTTATTTAGTGGGGGAATAATAATAAAAACAGTCAGATAAACACAAATCAAATGAACATTTTGTCAAATAAAACAAAAAAACTTGTCATCAGAGCCAGCGTTTCCTTCACTCACAGCTATGCAGAGAGAGGGCTGCTGCAGACGGGCTAACATTAGACCTGGCTGCAGTTACCCTCAGAGCTCCTCTGGCTGCAGCGGTCCTCTGAACTTCAGAATTGTTTTTTAAATTACATATTAATTCCGTAAATGGGCCATATAGTTACCCTTAAAAGTACAATGTTCTTGCCTCAAATAATCTTAAAACATACTTTTATTGAACAACTGAAACTGAAAAGAGAATGTTTAACTTACTGCTGTGAGCTCTCTGAGTGCTCCATTTAAAGGCGCTGCTGCAGTGCATGCTGGGACAGTGATCTGAAGAATGGACAAGTCTGCTCTGATGCATACTGGGTAAAGAGGGAGGGGCGAGAACAACATCAGGGGACTTTGTCCGTTCTTGGTCTGCAGTTCTTATGAATTGGAACAGTACTAGGGCTGAGGCTGATGAAGTTTTTAATGACGAGCACATGAGAACGCACAAGAACACGGCCAATGTCTCAAGGAGCTGGGTTCCAGAGCCCTGGCTGTGTGAGGAGGCGGTCCAACTATTTCTAGCAGGTATTGCTCCAGCTCCGAGACAAGCTCAGGCTCCTTCCCCCCAGAGAGGTGACATTCCACGTCCTCAGAGGGCCCAGCAGGGTCCCGCGAGGAACCACCTAACCACCAGGGGCTCGTCAACCAAACCTTACCCCAGGCCTTGCTCCATGGTGGGGATTACGTTTTTTTTTTTTTTTTTGGCCATCATTAGGGATCTTTGAACCACTCTTCGTCTGGCTTGTCACTCAGAGCCGCTTCGCCTTGGTACACCCTACCACTATCACTAATATCAATGTTGATTGATATTTGTCAATCACCCTAAAAAAATTGGTCAGATGTACCAATACAAGCCTTATTCTACATTAAGAATTGCTTTTCATCTTTATTGTCCACCTTAGTAAAATGTCATATTTGCACCCATAAGAGGAACATCAGAAATGTTTGGATAAATGAAAGAAAATCTACGCTACGTAGTGGCCGTTTATTTAGGGGGACTGATTTTCTCTTTTGGGCGTTTCTGAAGTTGTTGTTGATCTTAAACATGATGCTGTGTTTGTGTCACCAGGAGAAAGACCTTCGGAAGAGAGCCGACTGTCTGCTGAAACAGGCCGACCTGTTAGGATGTCGTCAGTTTGTGACCGCCACCGATATTGTGACAGGAAACGCCAAACTCAACCTGGCCTTCGTGGCCACACTCTTCACCAAACACCCGGCCCTCACCAAACCCGAAAACCAGGACTGGAATCTTGAGAGTAAGCA